GATGACTATTAATCTGTATTTCTTAGCTATTAAAAACCTTTAAGGGCCTACCTGGAAGACTTTCACTCAGGGTTCAAAAAGAGAAGCCACAATAAGTGTAGGAACTAAAGTCTGATGACTATAGGAAAAGAATCTTCTCTCACATGTTCTTTCTGTTTATATGCTTTTTATTTCTCCTCTCTTTATTCTACTGCCTTTACTCTAATTCTTCTGTCTATAATTGTCTATAATTTCTTAGCTCTAATTCTGTCTCAATTTTAATTTCAGTTCTCTGTTACAAATTTCTGTTCCAAATCGTTCTTGTTCTAATTACTCCATGCTGTTTTATCTTCTTCTCGAAATTATTTCTTCTCATTTTATATTTCCCAATACTATAAATTCCCAAGCATACATATGTCCATTCATTAACAACTTTTTAGTAATAAAAAAAGACCTACAAGGAAAATTCCCAGGGACACAGACATTCTTTGAAGAGATGTAGCAAAACTTAACAGCTAGTTTGTAGCTAACCACAACTGCAGCTGTGAGGAGGTTCTGGCCATCTTTTCAAGGGGCCACTAAGTTACAAAGGGAGAAAAACTAAACCATTGAGAGAGCTAAGGAAAAGTCAGAAAATAAATGTATTATTTTACATTTCTTAAGTGTGATAAATAATACCTGGATATGCTTAGTCAGTTAGGTGCTATTGGTCTCTTTAAGGACTAAGATAGAACAAAAACAGACACCTGCAATACTGCACTAATTTATCATACATCCTCTGAAGGCTTAGGTTTTACAAGGACAGACACCTACAATTTCATAAATAAAATCTGTAAAAGTTCCGTTTGTGGTCTGTCCAGAAGGATGCATGTCTGGCCAACTTTCTCTGTCAGTAAGGCTAATGATAGACAGCAGGCTTCTAAGATTCTCCCCATAATGTGGAGAACATAGTGTAGAGATAACTCCTTTTAACCATCTACAAATGTGTGTGCCTGTAAGAGTGAGATATAATCATTAGATTACATGTATGCATTACTTGAAAATGCATGGTAATGTGGAGATATCATAGCTGTTATTGCACAAGAGAAATTGCAGATAAAAGCAATAGTTTTCACAGTCAGTGGCCCTGCTGACTTTGCCAGGTAGGCTTCCTCCATATGAGAATAATTTCTTGACATCTGAATTATGAATTGCTATAAGCTGTAATTGCATTTTGGCCTACAATAGCTTATGATAAATGCTCCCAACACTTAACTATACATTACATTTTTAAATGAGTTGCATAACCATGAAACCTTAAACAAGAGTAGAAATATACATGTAGTATAATGAAATTGACCTTAATAAACCAAAATCCATACTAACGTAAAGTATTAATTTCTATATCTTTAAGTTGTTTTTTATTTCATTTCAAAAATTCAGTGTATATTCAGAATATATTCCTTATCATTTATATATTTTTATGATGACTTTTTGTTGTCATTTCCTTCATGTCCGGGGTCCCACAGCCATCAATGTTCAGGCAGAAGGCTTAGTGACCCCAGGTGTTAGCATTTCTGAGTCCCACGGCAATACATGCACGGTCAGCATTCAGAAAAATTACCTTGTCACCATAGAGCCTTAGTCTATGTGATGAACAGTGTGGTCACCAAATCTATACGTATGCATGGCATGGCTATGTGTGCCCCTAGATCCATGCGCTGAACTGCCTTTAAAAAGCAGACACACCCACCCCATACTCTTTCAACTCATTTCTTTCAGAAGGCCTTTGCACCTCCTTCTTTCCTTTCTCTTTATTAATAAAAACTCTTAAAGTGGCTTTTGTTATATTTCTTATGGTCTGTTCTTGTGCACAGTAATATCACTTTCCCTTTGTTTTGGGCTTAAATTTTAATCCTTTCTTTTTGACTGATAGTGATCCATCCTAAGGTGTTGTGCCTGCTTGAGAGCACTGTTTTAATCCCATACATCTACACCTCAGTCCACGACATGTCAGTTTTATTAGTGTGTATTACTTACATCATCAGAAATGATTGATTTCCTTCTGACATTTTCCTGAATGTGTTTAAGGTGCTATAATCTCCTGTTGTACTTTGATTGGATTTTAATAAAAAAGAAACATTGTTATTTTTGTTAGCCTAGTTTTTTTTATTGTAGTTAATTTTTTTGTGACTTTATACTAGCATCATTCTCTGCCTCCATGAGAAAAGTGAAGACACTTTTGCAATTTTGGAGAGCTCTATGTGTATTCCACTAGTCTTAGTTTCTCAATTTCTCTTGTAAGTATATCACCATAACTATCTTTAATTTCTAAGAGTCTTTTATATAAATGTAATTCATCCCATAATCCCAATCGGCAACCAGAATCTAGCTGTATCTAGGAAAAAATATAGAAATAAAATATCTGAGCATTTTTTTTATACATTGCAAAAGTGTCTTCACACCTAGAGCAAAGAGAAGAGCTCTGTAATTTGAGGTACAACAGCTAAGTTGAAGAAGTTTTAAACTTTAACATGATGTTGCAGAGTGGTAGGGGATATTTTGTAATTATTGACCCAGCTTCTAGAGTCTTACATGGAAGAAAGCTTTTTAGCCTTGTGGAGTTTAAATATGTTGGACATAGCTTAGCATTGTGGTACATATCTTAAATTCTAGACTTTGGGACACAGGCACCAAAGTTTCAGGCCGGTCTAGTCTACACAGTCAGTTCTAGGATATCCAGAACTACACAGTGAGACCCTGATTCAAAAATTGTATTGTAAATAGAGGCTGGAGAGATGGCTCAACAGTTAAGAGTACTGGCTTCTTTTCCAGGTTTGACTGCCACCATCTACATGACTGCTTACCATTTATATATCCAGTTCCTGGGGATCAGATCCTCTCTTCTGCCTCCATGGGCACCAGGCATGCATGTGATAAACAAATATGCATGGAGGCAAAACACCATACTCATAAAATGAAGTTTTAGAGTAATAGAAAAACAAAAATATTTTGGTAATACTGTTTTTAGCTACAATAATTCTAATAATTAAAATACTATTCTATTCTTCTAAAATAAGAATAGCAATATAATTTTATGATGATTTTCATGTTTCTGTTGCTATTAATACTTCAAAAACATAATTTGTATATTTTATATTTCTGTATTATTTATTTTGACTGAATACTTCAATGTAATTATTGACTAGAAATGTATGAACTTTTAAGAAGGGATTAAATTTTACCCAGGTTAGTTCACATTAATTTAAGGTATACTACAAGGATATAAAATGATCATTTTCCTGAACCCAGGTTTTTTCCTAGAATGTAAACAGTTGTAGTTTTTGACTAATTTTCATTGCTTTGGATCAATTAGACAGCCCAGACCTCACCAACTCTTTTGTTCTTGAGAGGAATGAAATAAAAATTTCTATAAGATTACGTGGATAGTTTAATTAGAAAAGTGCTTATCATGAGAGTGTGAGGGCTCAAGTTTGTTACCCAGAACTCTTCTGAAATATTCACTGTTGTGCTGTACATCTGTAATGCCAGTACTAGGGATATAGAGAAGGGAGAATACCTAGAGATCATTGGCCACTCAGTCTAGGCGAATTAGTGAGCCCTAGGAGCAGAGAGACCCTGACTCAAAAACTAATATGAAGAATGATTGAGAAAGATATCTGACACTAACTTCTGACCTACACGTACGTGTGTACACATATGCACAAGCACACATATACATGAATGTATACATATACCAAGCAATGCATAATAGTAAAAGTCAGTATAAATAAATTAGTGGTTAGCTTATTCAACATGTTTCTCTCACACATTGATGATTCACATTTTTGTGATGCATGAATATATTACTTTTTATTGTTGGATTAATTAGATGCTATACTGTTCTAATGTTTTTTTTTAAATTGATGATGTAATATACTTAACAGGATAGGTTGAAGTACTAATAATCCACAAAAACAGAGATAACAGGCTTTAGACCTCTTGCTTAGTCAGATTCTGGTATTGTGCAAACTGCTGCTGTATGATAGCGTCTCAAGGAGCTAGCAATACTGTGAAATTATTTGAGACATGGTTTCTTTGTGTAGCCCTGGCAGTCCTGGAGCTTGCTCTTTAGATTAGGTTTGCCCCAAACTCAGAGATTTGCCTGCTTCTGCCTCTGAAGTGCTGGGGTAAATGCATGCACCACCATGCTTAGGTACTTTCAATATTTAAGGGAGACAAGATTTAATTTCTAGTTATTTTATAAACTTGTTCATAAGTAGTAACTTCTAAAAGTGGTTAAATTCAAATAGTTTGATTTAACTGAGGAATAACTATGATAGTATAGAAAAGATGATTTTCAATTTGCACGATGGCTGAATTATTTCAAAATGGCTTTTAAAATATTCTTCACCAGAGTTACTTTTAAACAAACTTACCAATCAATAAAATGTTCTTTGTTTATTACCTTTTGAGTGTACATTAAGTGTATACTTGTGAAAGACTAAAGTGAGAAATAAAGGCACAAGAACTAAATGGGCAAATAACGGGGGTATGACAACTTTATTAAGTCAATATGGGTATTGATATATTAGTGTGATGAAAATCTCAATTACAAAAATTAACATTTCACTTTCTAAAGAATAAATGCCTTAGTTGTTTTTCTACTGGCAAAATACTATGCCTAACTCAAAATATAGAAGAAAATGTTAAATTTGAGGCTCCTAGTTCCAGAAGGTTAGAAGTCCATGAAAAGAGCATGACATCAGGGATGGAGGCATGGTGACAGAGCTGTAGCTGAGAGCTTAACTCTTGAGCCACAAGCATGAGGCAGAATAAGAGAACTGGGATTGATGCAAAATTCTGAAGTTTCAAAGTCCACCCCGAGGGACACACTTCTTCTAACAAGGTCATACTTCTTAATCCTTCCCAAATAGTTCCACTAACTGAAGACCAAGCAAAAATCCAGATATCTGAACCTATGGGGTCCATGTTCATTCAAACACCACAATGAATATTAATACAGGCGTATTTAATTTCAGGTCTCCCTTAAAACAAAACAAGAAGAGAGTAAATGATGGTTGTTTTTATGGAAAATTGAAAACTGAGTTCAGAGGTGGGGAAAGGCAGTATCATGAAGAATTTGGAAGGCAGCTATGGTCATCACTATACCATCGATGTTATAATGAAGAAGTCGGTCAACATGAAATGTTCCTAGAGAATCTAAATATGAACTCAAAGGCTTTAAAAAACAGCGTGACACAGGTAAATTAGTCATTGCTGCAATTTTTATCTCATCAATATTGCTTGTATAAATTTGTATTTTGTGTATCTATATAATATCTATTTATATTCATCTATCATCTATCTATCTATCTATCTATCTATCTATCTATCTATCTATCTATCTATCTATCTACCATCTGTCTGTCTGTCTATCTATCTATCTATTTACCTATCATCTATCTATATATTTTAATGTCACTAAAAGTATTCTACTTCAGAAAAGTATTCATTGACAGTTTTAGCATTCTGCAAACACCAAAGGTTGTACTTATACAACTTTAGCAATCTACTGAAACACTGGACACTATTATATGTGGGACCACATATAATCTACACATATGCAGTAGTTGTTGACCATAATGTTTTTATGCAGTATATTGTTATATTAGGTGTTAAACAGATTGTTATCTCATCTTAAAATGAAATTATGACACAGTTAAAATTATTGACCTTTGTCTTGTCAATTATTGTTTGTTCATAACAGTTTAGCCTGTAATTTTACGTTACTTTTTCAGATTTTGTATTGTTGTTTGTTTAAGAGATAATCTTGGATAAGTATAAATTTAATGAGGAGAAATTAAATTTATTTATGATAAGCATGTAATTTATTTATTTATTAAAATTTATTTATGATAAGCATGTTTTTTATTAAAAATTAAGCATGTAATTTATTTATTAAAATTTATTTATGATAAGCATGTAATTTTTTCTTTAAACTGAGCACATTTTTGCTTAATAGTTCGCTAGAATAAAATTAAGTACTTAATATATGCTAATACTTGTGAGGTAAAATTGGGTAAGCAATTAAGTATGAGAATGAAAGTACTTAGTTTAATTGAAGATGATTATTTCATTTAAGGTTATGTTCTAACTATGGAGACAAATAAGATTTTCTTTCCTTTGTCATATAGCTAATTGGTAACATAGATTTGTAGTATTTTACTCACAGAAAAGCTCTGGCTACTGCTTTTCTGATATTCATTCCACATACCCTTCATATACTATTCAGAGTTCTAGCTAAGGCAGCTGTATTAGTCAGGGTTCTCTAGGGTCACAGATCTTATGAAATTATCTATCTATCTATCTATCTATCTATCTATCTATCTATCTATCAATCATCTATCTATATCTGTACATATGTATATATACACTTATACTTGTTGGAGGAAGGGGGCTGCTTGTTCTTCCCGGCTGCCCGGCTAGGTTACACCCGAAATAATCACACAGAAACTGTATTAATTAAATCACTGGTTGGCCCATTAGCTCTAACTTCTTATTGGCTAACTCTTACAGATTAATTTAACCCATCTCCATTAATCTGTGTATTACCATGAGGTCGTGGCCTACCAGCAAAGTTTCAACATGTCTATCTCTGGCGGCAGGTCCATGGCATCTCTGACTTCGTCCTTCTTTCTCCCAGCATTCAGTTCTGTCTTCCCCACCTACCTAAGTTCTGCCCTATCAACAGGCCAAGGCAGTTTCTTTATTCATTAATGGTAATCACAGCACACAGAGGGGACTCCCACATCATATACTCATACATACACATATTAGTTTCTTAGTCACATAAGACTGGTTGTCTCAGATGGGTCTTCTGTATAAGCTAGAAACTCAAAAAAGTAGACTCTAATGACAATGATGGAGTGGATGTGCTGGCAAGGTGAGGGCAAGTAGGCAAAGAAGGAACTTTCTTTCTTCCATTGTCCTTATATAGGCCTCCAGTAGAAGGTGTGGCCCAGGCTAAGGTGTGTCTTCCCACTTCAAAATCTAGATTAACAGTGTGTCTTCCCACCTCAAGATCTGGATTAAAGGTTAGTGTCATCCCACCTCAAGATATGGACCAAAAGCCCATGTCTTCCAGCCTCAAGATCTGGATCACAGGCATGTTATCTTCCGGCCTCAAAATCCAGATCATGTGTTTGTTCTCCATCTTTGGATTGTAGTTCATTCCGTATATCGTTAAGTTGGCAACAAAGAATAGCCTTTACAGTAGTCAAGCATAGATAATTACTAGGAATGCATTGATCCTTGATCTCAAAAGAAAGTCCAATATTGTGGTTGTCTTTATCAGGTAACACATCAGTTACATGATCATAGCACTGAAAGTTATGTGCTGAGAAAAAGTTACTTATGAATTATTAATGGAAGAAATATTGTTTATTAGTGCAGTTGTAGAAGTTTCGTGAATTACTGGGGACAAATTATAAACGTCACGTTCTCTATTGACTGTTACTTTCAGCAGTATGATCAACGACACTGTGGCCTTTGCACAGAAGACCTCTGCTGATCTGTCAAGTACCTATGATTCCAGCTCTTATCGTGGATTAAACTACAAAATACTAATAATGAAAGCACATATTATATACAGCTCCCTATGTGCCAATTACTCTTCTGAGTTCACTGTTGTAAATAAATGAATCTCTTCATTTTAGAATCAGAGTCACCGAGGTATAGAAAGCTAATTTATTCCAGCTCACACAGGTCTTATATTTGTGGAGCTGGGATACAGACCCATCTACTTGTCACCCAGAGTGTCTTAGGGCTTTTTTCACAGTAAGGAGACACCATGACCATGGCAACTCTTATAAAGGAAAAACATATAATTGAGGTGGTTTACATTTTCAGAGGTTTAGTCCATTATCATCATGGTGGAACATGGTAACATGTAGGCAAACATGGTGATGGAGAGGTAGTTGAGATTGCTACATTTTATGCAGGCAAGAAGATGTGAACTGAGACACTGGGAGTTGCTTGAGCATATATGAGACTTCAAAGTCCACCTCCACAGTGACCCATCAAGACCACACACCGACTCCAACAATGCCACACCTCCTAATAGTGCCACACCCTCTGGAGCCAGTTTCATTCAAACCACCACATTCCACTCCCTGGTCCCCAAAGGCTTGTAGCCATATCATCATGCAAAAATGCATTCTGTCCAAGTTCAAATGTCCCCATAGTTTATTACAGCCTTAAATTAACTTAAAAGTTCAAAGTCTCTTCTGAGATTCACACCATCTTTTAACTGTAATCACCTGTAAAATAAATATAAAAAAGCTGGTCACATACTTTTAACATATAATGGCATAGGATATACACTGCCATTCCAAAACATAGGGAAGGGAACATAGTGAGGAAATAATGGGCCAAAGGAGGACTAATAATCAGCTGGGCAAACTCTAAACTCTGCATAATCTTGCTTGATGTCTAAATACTCATCAGATCTCCAATTCCTTTAATCTCTGTGGTCTGCAGCACGCTTCTTCCTCCTGGCCTTGTTTCACTCCCTGTCAGCAGCAGTCCTTGACAGGTGTCCCATTGCTCTGGTATTTTGTGGTCTCCAAGGCCATTCTGGCTTCATCTTCACAGCTTCATGCAATGGCCTCTCTAGGCCTCCATTCAGAGACACCCCTGATACATGATTGGCCTCAGTAGCTTTTCTTAGTTGCAGAGGGAGATTCCATAATTCCTTCTATCCTTGAAGCCAAAACGACATGGTTGAATGTGTCAAGTTCACTGCTTCCTGGGGCTGGAACATGGCTCGCTCTTTAAATGATATCTTCAGTAACTTTCTGTTTCTGACTGTTACCTTTACTGCTTATGCTTGGCTGTTCTAAAACTTTCTCTGTAGACCAGGCTGGCCTTGAGCTCAGAGATCTTTCAATTACATCTTTAACAGCTTTCTGCTTTTGGTATTTCCCTTCACTGCCTTAGTTTGACTATTTTGGAACTTGCTCTGTAGACCAGACTGGCTTCAAAGTCACAGAGCTCCACCAGCCTCTGCCTCTGAGTGCTGGGATTAAAGACATGCACCACCACTGCTTTGATATAAGCTCTTCTTTAATTCCTTTTCACAGGTTGGAAATTTAGCTGGGTGGGATCTTGCCCTGAAGTCACCACTCCCTTTATTTCATTTCTTAATCTGTTTATTTCCTTGGACACAAGATTTACCTCTATTTCTTTTTACGATGTTCTTTTCTCTTAAAATATTTTTTTCTTGCTCAACTCACTCCTTTTCATTATATATCTTCATAAGAGTTAACACTAGTAACCATACAACAGAGTCTATACTTGGCTGTTTGAGATTTCTTTTGCCAAGGGAATTAATTCAAAACTCACCACTTTAACCTCTGGCAAACTTTTCAGTCAAAAGCAAAAGCAGCCACATTCTTCACCAAAATATCACAAAAATATTTTCTAGGCGATATACTAAAATTCTTCCCCTGTGAAACCTCTTTAGACAGCCTCCCACAGTTCAAACCGCTCCATGCTGTGTGGAAGAATCCTTCTGTACACTGAAGATGTTGCTCTCATTGTTAATAAAAAGCTAATTTGCTAATAGCTAGGCAGGATTTTCAGGGCAGAGAGAATGCTGGGAAGAAGAAGGGCAAAGTCAGAGACTTCACTAGTGAGATACAGAGAGGAGAACAGAGTTGCAAGATGAAAGAGGGGTAATGCCACTTGGCATAATGTAGACTAATATAAATGGGTTAATTTAAGTTGTAAGAGCTAATTTATAATAAGCCTCAGCTACAGGCTGAGCATTTATAATTAATATTAAATCTCTGAGTGGTTATTCAGGAGCGGCTGCTGGGACACAGAAAAACTCTGCTTACACTATGCTCCTACTGATATTATCCATTAAGCACCACTTAAAGCATCCCTAACACAAAATCCTAAAGTCCAAACTTCTCTGAAATTCCTCTAAACAAAAGCATGGTCAGATCTTTCAGAGAAACACTCTAGTCCCTTGTACCAACTTCTGTTTTAGTTAGGGGTTCTATTGCTGTGAAGAAGCGCCATGACCACAGCAACTCTTATAAAGGAAAAACATTCAGTTAGGGTGGCTTATATTTTTAGAGGTTTTGTCCATTATCATCGTGGTGGGATATGGCGGCTTGCAGGAAGTCATGGTCTTGGAGAGGGAGCTGAGTGTGCTACATCTTATGCAGGCAGCAGGATTTGAACTAAGACACTTGAACACAGATGAGACCTCAAAGCCTGCCTCCAAAGTGACCCAGTTCCTCCAACAGGACCACACCTATTCCAACAAGGCCACATCTCCTAATAGTACCGCTCCCTTTGGGGGCCATGTTCTTTCAAATCACCACACAGAATATCATGTCAATTTTTATCATCATTGGTTTACTTTGATTACTCTCTTCATGAATTTTTCAAATGATTATTTTTGAGGTAGTTTTGAAATATAAACAAATTCCTCACAGAGGAAATTTCTGGGTTTCCTTCCATTTTATTATTTTTCTCCATTTGAATATCTGACAAAACATAATTTAAAAAACAAGGGTCCTGTGGTTCTATTGTAGAGCAGAGGTCATTAACTTTTCATTAGGAAAGTGGGTTGTATCATTGTAGGTTTCACAGACACAAGGTTTTCGTTCCAACAATTCTGTTCTCAGTCTGTACAGCATGGACACTCCCACTAACAAGAGATGAATGAGGACTGGTTGCAGCTGCTTTGGCTAGAATTTTAGATGAAAATAGGTGGTGAGCAGATGGTTCTGAATGACGATTATAGGCTTCTTTGTTTTCTTTTTCTTTTTTGTTTCAGGAAGCACAGTTGCAGGAAGAGCGACAGCGAGAAGGCATCCTGAATTCTTCAAGAGTGGAACATCAGCTGTGGAAGTATGACTTAAAACCACAAGCACAATACCTCAAGCGTTTATAAATCTGATCAGCAGTATAGTAAGGAGATTATGTCTGGATTACCAGCTGTGGTAAAAAAGACAGACGTGTTAAGCCAGAGAGACTTTTCACTTTAGCTTAAATGCGATGCCTAATTTAAGGCTGGGATAGAAGTCAGTGTTATGGTGCATAATTTGCATGGGCAAGAACCTGGATGCTATCATCTTTCTGCTTTTCAGTTTTTTAAAATTTTATGTAAAATGTCTTTAGGCTAGAAGTTGAATGTTTCAAGTTAGAAGACTCAGTAAAGAACCAAGCAGAAGAAATTGAAGAGATTGAGAATCAACTATTAAGAGAAGATTTGGTAAGTTAGTGTACTTTTCATTTCTGCCACCATGAAGAAAAAATTACCTTACCCTGGTGCTACTTGATAACATTTATTTATGTGTTTGTGGTGATAATACGTGTAATGATGCAAGCCATCTTTACTTAACAGAAAAACTTGATTGAATTCATAAATTAATTATTTGTACAGTACAGTCTGACTAGAGAAGATTCTGACAGCTGAAACCCAACAGTTTGCACACATCTCTCTGTGTTTATCTATCCATCCTTCTACCAAGGGACATCGGAGCTGTTTCTACCTTTTGCCTGTTGTATCACTACTCTACAGGAACATGGGTATGCTGTTCTTTGCTTGAGGCTCTGTTACTATTTTACAAAATACAACTCTGTTAGTATTTTATTTTTCTTAGAATATTAAGTAGTCATTTGACATAGTGTTAAGAATCTTCCTTGTAGTCTAGCCTTTCAGGAATGTTTTAAAAACAAATAGCTTCTAATTTGTATTTCATTAAGAACCAGTACTTGTTCATTAAGCAAGCACTTTCCCCAATAAAGTTAATTTTCTCTAGAAATAAAAGAAAGGAAATGCAAAATATTTGCAGAAATGGCTGCTTGGTGCAATTGGGCCTTACAGAGAAACGTGGTACCACTCACACTGAAGGTGCAGAATCTAATCTTTTCATTCATTTATGCTCTTTATCCTTACAATGCATGACACTGCAATATCAGAAAAGAGAGAGATAGTTCAGGATGCCATTTAATGGTATATAATAAAAATAATATTTATGCTTATTAATCAGAATAGAATTCTCATATATTCATTTATAAAAATTCTTATAACAATGGGCTGGAAAGATAATTCAGACACTTGTGGAGGATTTAAATTTAGTTCTCAGTACCCGCGTTCTGTTGCTCTCCTCTGGATTCAGGGGGCACCTGCCCTTACATGAGCACATTACCAAAGAAAGACATACATATAGTCATGCTTAAAGACAAAATAAATCTTTTAAACAAAAATTGAGATCATAAAATTGCACTGTAAATAATAAGCTGGAGAAATGATACATTTGTTTCTATTGACTTGTCTAGTCTTGTAGTGCGTTATACATATATACTTCTCAGGGCAAAGTGGAACAGTTATACACATACACTGTGTGTTCCTCATGACTGAAGAGGCATTGAGAAAGGTTTTTACTTTTCTTATTAATTAATCAGTCTACCTATTACCATGCTTTTCCTGCATTATATGTGACAATATATCAATAAGGAGCATTCTGTCAATAAGACTTCTAATAAACATCTTTTACATAATTACTATACAGAAATATATTAGAATATCTAAAATTGAAAAATTTATTGTAGTACCCTGAGCCTATTCAAGTTATTCAAATGTAGTGAGAGATTTTCTATAGCTTCCCAAAGCAATGAATTAGAAATATGCCGTTAAATTAATTATTAGCCATGTTCCATTCCAGTCTACTCTGGGAATCAGATGTTTAAGAGGCATCTTTCTTCCTGAGAACTTGATAATTATGCCTAACTCTTCCAGAGTGTTTTCAGATCATAGTTACTTTACACAAGATATCACATGTATTAAGATGTTTGATATAGTTTGAAGGTGAAGTGTCTAGACTGGGAATATGGGATCTCTGACACTGGTTTCCACACAGTATGGTTGAATGTCATATAAAGGTAAGACTTTCCTAACATCATGTCTGTTTTGGTAAAATAGACTATTTAAAAGTAAAAAACGAAACAACTGATTGATGCTCAAATAAAAGTCTAAATTAAAAACCACAGCTGGGGATATATCACAGTGGTAGAGCATGTACCTCCCATGCTAAGGCCTTGGGTCCAATGCCCAGCACCACATAAAGGGTACAGATAATATCTTAGTGTTTCTATTACTGTGAAGAGACGTTATCACCAAGCCAACCCTTATAAAGGAGAACATTTAATTAGGGCTGACTTATAGTTTCAGAGGTTTAGTCCATTGTCATCATGATAGGAAGCAGGGCGGCATGCAGGCAGACATGGTGCTGAGAGTTCAACATCTTGATCTGCAGGCAACAGGACGTGAACTGTGTGCCACACTGGACATAGTTTGAGCATATGAGAAGTCAAAGCCCGCCTCACAGTGATGCACTTCCTCTAACAAGGTCACACCTCCTAATAGTACCACTCCATACATTCTGCAGTGCTGGCTTGGTGGTCATGAATTGCCTTAGCTTGTGCTGCTGTTGAAATGTCCTTATTTTTCACTAATTTAAAAAGATAACTTCCAGTCTCAAAATGCACCATCCCATGCTTTTCATGATTTGAAAGTCCCCAGGGAGAGGTCTGATGTTATTCTGCTATGTCTGCCTTTCTAGGGAAGTTGACATTTCTTCTTGTACATTTGATAATTATCAATTTGCCAGGCAGTGGTGGTGCATGCCTTTAATCCCAGCATTTGGGAGGCAGAGGTTGGCAGATCTCTGTATGTTCGAGGTCAGCCTGTTCTACAAGAACTAGTTACAGTACAGGCCCCAAAGCAACAGAGAAACCCTGTCTCACCACCCCAACCCCAATAAATAAATAAATAAATAATTAACTTAGTTGAATATTGTTTCTCTGTTTGCATTTTTGCATCTTAGCTATAACTTTGTTGTGGGAAGTTTCTTGTCATATTATATCCACTTGGATTTCTATATTCTTCTAGTATTTTAATCTCTATATCTCTAGATTGGGGGAGTTTCCCATAGTTTCACTTAATAGATTCACTATGCCTTCTGCATGTTTATCTTAGATCTGCTTCTGTCTGTGAATTCATAGCTTTGGCCTCTTGATTATATTCCAGAGTTGTTGAACATGTTATGCTCATTCATTTATTGTTTACATTTTTTGTTTACATTTATTTATGCATGTGTGTTTGTGTGTGTGTGTGTGTGTGTGTGTGCGTGTGTGTGTGCATGTACCACAGAGTGTGTGTAAAGGTCAGAGGACAATTTGCTTGAGTCAGCTCTCTTACTAAGACTGTCTTACCTGTTGATGTTTGTTGATCTAAAGCCCCTAGGGTAGGTCAGTTTTTAAATATCAATTTCACTTTCAAGATAGCACCTGACATCTGTCCTCCAGTTCACATAGTGTGATAAAATAGCATTTCTGTTCATCGCTGGTCCACCCATGGAGGAATCACTGGCTGGATTTGAAGCTTGTGAAGGCTGTGGGCTTGTCTTGAAGGCAGGAATGGCCAGGTTTCTCTGACTTACCCTGGTGTAAGCTTCACAGAGGAGAGTGAAGCCAAGGCTATATTGGGATATCTTCCCTGCAGTGCTGAGCTTTCCCTTCTGCTCATTTCCACGGTCCTTATTTCTCCAAGGGATTCTAATGCTAGGTTTTTATTTCTCTCTTTGAAATAAACTCTCCTCTTTTCTTATTTTGTATCTTTCCTCTGCTAGCTTTTACAAAATCAACCTCAAATCCATCATCTTACCTGGAAATAAAGATTAATAACATTTAAGTGTGTATGTATGCGTGTGTGTGTGTGTTTGTGTGTACCACATATTTGCTGTGTTGCCAGAGGTTAGAGGAGAGCACTGTGTCCCCTGATGCTAAGTTATAGGAGGTGGTGACTGACCTGATGGAGGTGGTTGGAAATTAACCTAGGTTTTCAGCAAGAGCATCAAGGGTGCTTAACCACTGAGCCATCTCTTCAGCCCCAGGACAAAGACCTTTAAAAGGTCTTGATGACCTTCATTTTTTTTTTATTGGAGTTATAGGATTGGAAATCAGATTTTAGTGTAAAAGTGGTGGTGCGTGATTAAAAATAGATTTGTAGATGAGAGCCTGATTTGAACAGGTTGATAAAAACTAGAATATGATGAGGTTAATTCAGCTATTGCGTGACTTCTGATAAGTCCTCAATAGCATACAAATGATTCCAAGTGTAGCTTGGTAAAACAATGAACTTATTGAAGTTACTTACAGGAATTTTGGTGACTCAAAGTAAAAGGCATCATTGAGAAGTCAACGCCGGCACAGGAATAACTTATAAACTTCATTCCTGGAGCTCACTGCATAAATTAGAATCAGATCCGCTGCAGAATCTCCTCTCCCCAACAATTGTCTACACCTTGATAACACTGTGGAGAGGCCTTGTGACTTTCATAAATATTGGAGCTTTATGAGTCTTGTTGGTTTTGTTAACTTCCTGAATCTTATCATTTTCTTACTCCCTCTTTGAAGGAATGTTTCAATCATAAGGAAACAGGCACAGAACAAGTGTCTAAGTTACTTTTCAATTGTTTGAAAATATACCATGACTAAGGGCATTTATAAAAAGATAAAATTTGAGGGGGTTGCTTAGAGTTTCAGAGGGTTACTCAATAACTATTCAGGCAGGGATGAAGGTAACAGGCAGGAAGGCATGGTGTTGAGGCATTTAACCAAAAGCGGCAGGCAGAGAACAGAAAGACTGGGCTTGAAACCTCAAAGCCCACCACCAGTGACACCGCTCCTTCAATAAGGCCGCACCTCCTAATTCTTCCTAAACAGTCCCACCAACAGGGGACCAAACATTCAAATATATTAGACTACAGAGGTCATTCTCATTCAAACCACCACAACAGATAAGACAGAGAAGACTTAGAGAAAAATAGAAAAACTAGGAACTCCTGGGCTAGTGCATACAAGAATGAGAATTTTATTCATCCCAAAGTCAAGTGATAATGAAAAAAGTAATAGAAATAAAATAAGTACATTCTAAAGTTATCTTCATAAGGTATGATTTTAAGCACCTTAGAGTATCTAGAACCATTAATGAACATTCTACAGCATCTTTCAAAAATTTTATTTATTTTGTGTGTATGTGTGTTTAGCATACATATACACACACACACACATACACACACACACACATACATATATATATATATATATATATATATATATATATATATGTTGGTACACCACATGCATAGTTAACAGAAGCTTGTGAGTCACCATGTGGGTGCTGGAAATCAAGCCTGGGTCTTCTGAAAGAGTACTCAGTGTTCTTAACCTCCCAAGTATCTCTCCTGCCCCAGACAACATCTTAATCACTCAACCATCTAAACACTCTTTATAGAATTTTATTGGCATTTATTCATTTTTCTTATTAAAGAAAACATTTAACTCGGGACTTGTCTACAATTTCTGAGGGTTAGTCCACTATCATCATGGCAGAGAGCATGGTGGCACCCTGGCAGACATGGTATTGGAGAAGTAGCTGAGAGTTGTACGTCTTGATCCCCAGGCAGCAGCAGGAAGAGACAGTGACACACTGGCCAGGCTTGAGCACCTAGAATCTCAAAGGCCACCTCTAGTGACACACTGCCATTAAGGCCACACCTCCTAATCTGTCCCAGATAGCTCACCAGCTGGGGACTAAGCGTACCTTTATGAGCTTATAAGGACTAATACCATTCAAACCACCGAATGACACACCCTTGATTATACTGAGCCTGTCTAAAACCAACCCCCAAAACTAGAAACCTACAGTCTCTTTAGTAGCTTGAAGCTCTGCATCAGTTGTTGCCCCATCTAATGCCTAGCGAGGATGGTAAGAGAAAATTTAGGACTAGCACAGGAGTTTATGACTGTCAGGTCAGGTATCTGTGAATGCTTCTTACGGGTTTACTGGTGTTCATGTGTAAAGAATTCTACTTCCTTGTCCTGCCTTTTCGCCTGTCAGCTTCCATATACTCAAAACCTCTGTTTTAGCAAATATGTCTATTAGTTTAACTTCCATGACAAAGGTGTAAATCAATGTATTCTGTTTTAACAGACATCACTGTTTGAAATCTGTACTAGATGGCATTTTATAAATTGTTTCTAATGTATATTGCTCATAAACTCATGAGAAGTACTATTTTAAGAAACAAGAATGAGTTCTTAGGTATTTAAAAAATCTACTTATAAATATTTTGTCAAAGATTGGAAACAAAAAGAAACAACAAAATAAACTTATCCAGTCGACGCAATCTCTGGCATGTACTTTGGACCAAGAGAAGGAGAAAACGGAAGAATTAGAAAAGGAATTACAAGGGTAAGAGTTTAATGTTTCAGATCATTTTAGTCATTCTGCAGTTGATTTAACTTTAGCTTACTGACTAAATAAAAATTAATAGTGTATCTACCATTTCGTAATAAAATTATTATGTTTTAAATGTACTTCAGAAACTCAGGGCAATGTGGAATATTTTTTGAGTGCCAAGATATCATTATCATTCTTTAATGGCTTTGACATTAGTAATAACAATACTTTTGGTGTAACTGTCATTGTACCGTTTCTTTTCTACCTTGAATTTATGTATCTGAAGCATTTTTCCTTTTTTTGGGAATATCCTTACCTCAATTTTCAAATCTGCTCACATCTAAAATTCCGTCTTGCCTGTTCTTTCCCAGCACAATTACATTGATTGTATTTATTTTTTCTACCTCTTTCTCGTTTTCAGTTATAAAATATATAGGATGGGTAAACTCATTTGAAGTAGTGTTTTCCATGTTCATTATATATGTATACACACACACACACACACACATATCCTTAAACCTTAGCTTGTTACCTATATGCATGCCAATGAATATAGATATTTTCCCGCACTGTTTCATTTCTTAAAACATAATCCCAAATTGCTTCTTGAAATCATTCTTTTTTATCAGGTACTTGATCACAGCAATAAGAAAAGTAATACAGAAAAATGGAATCAAGGAAGAGGGCTGTTGTGATAAACTTATGTTGTTTTCAAGCCCTTGGAACCAATTTGTTTGGATAATATAGAAGAATTTGGAGCTGCAGGCTAGCATGCTTGTTATCAGAATGTGGCAGGCCATTCTGGGGGCAGTTGGATAACAAAAATTCCAAAAGAAATGTAGTCACAAAGTTTAGAAAGAGAAAAAAAGAACTTTATTGGGAATTGGACTAGAAGCCATTCATTTTGCGTTCTGGCAAAGAATTTGCCTACATTCTCCCCGTTTCCCAAAAACTTGAGTGAGGCATAGTTCGAAAGTAATGGACTCATTTGTTTGGCAGTAAAAATTTAAAGACACTGTAGCATCCTCAGGCTGTGCCATGGTTTCTGCTTGCCACTCTTATCTAGGTTCACAATGATAGATAGATAGATAGATAGATAGATAGATAGATAGATAGATAGATAGATAGA